TAGTAGCTAAAAGTGGCTACTTTCATATCTGGTACTGCTGCTGCTACTTACGCTACTGGTGGCGTATGGCGAGTTCTTCCTCCCTTCATCAGTCTCCGCGACACAGACTTCCTCACTCTCCTGTTTGCATTTTCTCGGTGTCATCATCGTTCTTCTCTATCTCTTCCTCCTCCTCCTCCTTCCCTACCCCTCCTCCGCCTGCAGAAATTTGCAAGAAGACCTTGAGACCGCTCCAGGAGTGCACACACACACACACACAATCACCTGCCCAAATTCCGTCCCAGCAAGCGTAAGGTAATGAAGATTGGAAACGGAGACAGGGGACCAGGAGGTATCCACACCTCTAGGGGGAAAGCAACTACGGGAATCTGAAAACATAATTGGTGTTATAGATTCAGCTACTGGGAACAAAAAAGAAAACATCAAATATTTGGGAATGGGTATAATCCAACCCCTGTTGAAGAGCAGAGGTGCAATAGGTACTCTGTGATACCTGCTTGATGGGGTTCTGGGAGTTCTTTTACTCCCCAAGCCCGGCCCGAGGCCAGGCTTGACTTGAGAGAGTTTGGTCCACCAGGCTGTTGCTTGGAACGGCCCGCGGGCCATACACCACAGCCCGGTTGGTCCGGCACTCCTTGGAGGAAACAATCTAGTTTCTTCTTGAAGATGTCCACGGTTGTTTCAGCTTATTTTTCTTATGCTCGCTGGGAGGACGTTGAACAACAGCGGACCTCTGATGTTTATAGTGTTCTCTGATTGTGTCTATAGCACAATCCGGAGCCGGTCGGCCGAGCGGACAGCACGCTGGACTTGTGATCCTGGGTTCGATACCGGGCGCCGGCGAGAAACAATGGGCAGAGTTTCTTTCACCCTATGCTCCTGTTACCTAGCAGTAAAATAGGTACCTGGGTGTTAGTCAGCTGTCACGGGCTGCTTCCTGGGGGTGGAGGCCTGGTCGAGGATCGGGCCGCGGGGACACTAAAGCCCCGAAATCATCTCAAGATAACCTCAAGATATGGCACCTCTGCTCTTCACTGGTTCTATTCTGCATTTTCTTCCATGTCGTTCACTCCAGTACGTTGTTATTTTACTGTGTAGATTAGGGACCTGGCCCTCCAGTATTTTCCATGTGTATATTATTTGGTATCTCTCTCGTCTCCTTTCTATTGAGTACATTTGGAGCGCTTTGAGACGATCCGAAAATTTAGGTGTTTTATCTCGTCTATGCGTGCCGTATATGTTGCGTCCAACAGCCTGGTTGACCAGTCCAGCAACCAGGAGGCCTGGTCGGGAACAGGACTTCAGTTTTGAGGAAATTAGACCTCACCACCCTGGAGAACAGAAGAAACAGGAGATATGATCACAACATATAAAATACCGAGAGGAATAAACAAGATGGACAACCTTTTTTTTTATTCAGGAGAGAAAAAAGATGTAAATTACATCATTGAAAACGTGACAAGTATCTTGGAGACGCCGGGTGTGGTGAGGTGGTCCACCAGGAGACGCCGGGTGTGGTGAGGTGGTCCACCAGGAGACGCCGGGTGTGGTGAGGTGGTCCACCAGGAGACGACGCGGGTGTGGTGAGGTGGTCCACCAGGAGACGCCGGGTGTGGTGAGGTGGTCCACCAGGAGACGCCGGGTGTGGTGAGGTGGTCCACCAGGAGACGCCGGGTGTGGTGAGGTGGTCCACCAGGAGACGCCGGGTGTGGTGAGGTGGTCCACCAGGAGACGCCGGGTGTGGTGAGGTGGTCCACCAGGAGACGCCGGGTGTGGTGAGGTGGTCCACCACCTTCTGGGAGGCACCCTTCAACTTCCCTTCCACAACTTGATCCACAAATTCCCCAAATATTTCCAACGTCAAGATAATTTACTGGTAACGCCACGGCACTCCTCCCTCCCCCCTCCTCTTCCACTACCCTTCCCCCCTCCTCTTCCACTACCCTTCCCCCCTCCTCTTCCACTACCCTTCCCCCCTCCTCTTCCACTACCCTTCCCTCCCTGCAACCTTCCCTTTCCCCCCTCTTCCACTACCCTCCCTCCCCCTCCCCCCCTCAGATGACGAAATAGACAGCCCAGTTACACTTTTCTTTTGCAAATGATCTCTCAACATTGATCTTTCCCGCCCTCCTCCCGGCCGCCTGTCCTCCAATTCTTGATGGCGCTCGCCCAATTCCACCCTTGGGGGGGGGGGGCTGGCGTAGGTGGCAGGCTGGCAGTTGTAGGAAGGTTGTCAGTCAGTCTTTAATAACAGCTGGGGGGGGGGGCGTTAATATTGACAGTGGTGAGAAGTGGGGGGGCCCCCCCTCCCTCTCAGGTTCTGGGGGGGGGGGAGCACTGGCCGGATATCCTGGTCGTCCTGGTCTTCGTGGTCCCACGGGGCTGTTGTTCCCTGGAAGCTAGACAAGGTAGGTAGTGTCAGAGAGGATAATGTCCTGCCTGACAGCCTAGTCAGCTAGTCCTTGTCAGCCTAGCCCCAGTGTTAAGGCAGAAGACGGTCAGGAAGTTGAGACTGTGTGTGTGTACCTGGAACATACCTGAGAAGGTCTCGGGAGTTCTTCTACTCCGCGAGCCCGACCTGAGGCCAGGCTCGTCTGTATGGTGGTAAAGTTAGCAGTCAGTAAAAGTAGCAAAGTTTGTTCAGGAGAGACAGAGAGCAAAAGGCCATCGGTGAAATAGAGAAATCCGAAATATTTTTTCTCCTATGTAAAATCTAGATAAAAAACCTCATCTAGTATCAGGCTCCTGCGAAAGGGACCTTGAAGGCCAGGTCCCAAATTTGCACAGTAGAATAACAACATAGAGGAACGAAAGATACGGAAGGAAATGCAGAATAAAACCAGTGAGGAGACATAGTCACAAATCAGAGAGCACTCTCTGAACATCAGAGGTCCACAGCTGTTCAACACCCTCCCAGCAAGCATTAGAAATATTGCTGGAACAAGGGTGGATATATTTAAGAGTCACTTAGATAAGTTCTTGCAAGAAGTGCCGGACCAACCGGGCTGTGGTGGATATGTGGGCCTGCGGGCCGCTCAAACCAACAGCCTGTTGGACCAAGTTATCACAAGTCAAGCCTGGTCCCAGACCGGGCTTGGGAGTAGAATGACTCCCAGAACCCTCTCCAGGTACTCACCTAGTTGTGCTTACGGGGGTTGAGCTTTGGCTCTCTGGTTCCCACCTCTTCAACTGTCAATCAACAGGTGTACATACACCCACACTGATAGGGGTGTATATTGGCTGGTATTACGAGATCGGGTGATAGTCAAGTTAAGACTTGCCTGAAGAGGCAAGTACATGAAATTTACGAGGAAGTTTTGGGTTAGTGTATTCTTGGAAGAATTGGTTGGGTTGATTTTGGAAGATGTTGGTTGAGGGCTGGTAATGTGTGGTTAGTGGTAGTTCTTGAGACTAAGTTGGTAGCAACGGTGTGAGGGCATTGTAACGTGACCCTTAATACCCAGAAGTGATTACACCCGAGGATGTCACGGGGAGAGGCATTCAGTCACCAGGGCCTCTGGCCGCTGTTAATCCCTCTTGTGTAGTGCTGCTGAACCCCAGAGGGAGAGGGGGAGAGAGAGGGAGAGAGGGAGGGAAGGAGATAGGGATCAACCAGATATCAACCAGGGAGAGAGGGAGGGAGGGAGGGAGTGGGGGATGGAAGAAAGGAAACCAAAGAGCTCCAAATCACAAGTCTAATAATCCCAGAAAACATTTTTCCTATTCCCCACAGGCAGACCCACAGGCAGACCCACAGGTAGACCCACAGGCAGACCCACAGGCAGACCCACAGGTAGACCCACAGGCAGACCCACAGGCAGACCCACAGGCTTGGGGATAACCATGAAACTTGGAGACTCTAATCTGGTCGAGGACTGTTGCCTGAAATATTGAGCATATTGTAAGTAACTGCTACACGTCTACACTGTGGAAGGTGTAGCCTCTAGTTATACACACAGTGTAGGAGGTTGTGTTCGCTACAGTGTACACACAGAGAGGGCTAGTAACCTTTTGGGTCAGTGGGGCTGCTGCTGTGTTATGAGCCTGTGACCCCTGCTGTGTTATGGTGTCAGTGGGACTACTGCTGTGTTATGAGCCTACTGTGTTATGGTGTCAGTGGGACTACTGCTGTGTTATGAGCCTACTGTGTTATGGTGTCAGTGGGACTTGCTGTGTTATGAGCCTACTGTGTTATGGTGTCAGTGGGACTACTGCTGTGTTATGAGCCTACTGTGTTATGGTGTCAGTGGGACTACTGCTGTGTTATGAGCCTACTGTGTTATGGTGTCAGTGGGACTTGCTGTGTTATGAGCCTACTGTGTTATGGTGTCAGTGGGACTACTGCTGTGTTATGAGCCTACTGTGTTATGGTGTCAGTGGGACTACTGCTGTGTTATGAGCCTACTGTGTTATGGTGTCAGTGGGACTACTGCTGTGTTATGAGCCTACTGTGTTATGGTGTCAGTGGGACTTGCTGTGTTATGAGCCTACTGTGTTATGGTGTCAGTGGGACTACTG